TTATAATATTAAAAATATCAAAACATTTAATAATAATTATATGATAAATTTAATAAAATTAAAATTTATATTATACCTTATATATTTAATAATTATGATTATATGATAAATTTGATAAAATTAAGGTCTATATTATATCTCACATACTTAATAATTATGATTAAATATTTTAATATTTTTAATATCAAAATGTTTTAATTTTTTCTTTTCCCAAAATATTTAAACTGATACCTTTAGGTTTAATTTCTTTAAATCATATATAGATTACATTTTGTATTTCGCTTAAATTTACTTTCAATAAATTTTGCCTCTTTAAATTTAGGTGGACCCTTGCTAATCTAGAATTAGGCTCACCATAATGTTTCACCATGCTTACCTGGTTGTCCCAATTGGTTTTCCATACAATTAAAGAAAGAACAACGGTTTGCATTGCCACTCCCGTAAGCATTCCAATCCACAGACCCTGTAAAGAAGAAAGTCAAAAGTTGATAAAAAAATAAAAAAATAAAAACCTCTTAATATTGCATAAACAAAAACAGAGTAGAAGCAGAGGATAGGGTATCCATCATCCCTTCTCAGTTTCAGTTACTTACCTTAATTTGAAGATTGACCACATATCCCAGTACAACTCCTAGAGGTATCCCTATCACATAATAGCACCCTAAGTTCACTACAGCAACTGCTGTTTGCATTCCAGCGCCTATTGCCACTCCTGTAACCAACAATTAAAAATCTTTCTCATTCATTAGTCTAACATATGGTAATCCCTGTTTCTCAATTCGAAACTTCAAAATTTAGTAGGTTTTAAGTCTGTATTCTGAAAGAGGAAACCTGCTACAATGATCCTTTTATCTTGAGTTTGAAGGGGTTATATGCAATGTTTTAAAGAAGGTTTTAAGTGTATAAATCTTAAACTACAACAGAACAATGTTTAATTTACCATAGTTCATGAACCAAAAAACAGTTCAAAAGGTGCTTTGCATGTACGGATTATAAAATGTAAACCATTGGATAATGGAGGGTCTCCCAATCTGATGACTGTTATTTTACAATTTGGACTGCAAAATACCAGGCTCAAAACAATTACCATAGTTCAAGTTTGTATATATAAGCAGGATTGACCACCTTGATCAAATGGCTCATGTCTTAAGCCTAAGAGCTCAATTGTTTCTAAGTTCAAAGTTCAAGCTCAGGGCAATTGCTTGTGTATTGAGGGGAGACTACTGCATATTTTAAGAGAATTGAAGAACTTGCCTGAGAGGACTGACTGAATGCTATTCAACAATATGTTGATCGCAAGGAGATTTGAAAGGCTGGACACAGATTCTGCAACTTCCTCACTACTTGAAAACAGGTAGGAAATTTTGCGTCCGAATACCAAACACAGAACAAAGAAGAACAGTCCAATAAAAGTCGTAGTACTCAAAATGGTTTTTATAGAGAATTTCACAGCCTCAGCATTTCCCTTCCCCAGCTCATTTGCTACCCTTACGCTGCGCAGGGGCAAACCAATTATAGAATTTTGGGCATATTATAAATAACGAGAGGAAAAACTTAAGCAAGAAGGTAAGTAATTAACCAAACTCTTATTTACACTTCATACGTTATTATTTTTTGACAATCAATACCCTTAAAAAATTTTATTTTCAATCAACAACTTTCATAATTTAAAATCAATAAAAAATCTCAAAATTAAAAATCAAACTCACTATTGTACCTTTATTTTGTTGGTAATTTAAAATTTTTTATAGGTTTTAAATTATAGAAAATATTGAATGAGAGAAAAAATTATAAAAAATAATAACTACAAAAAAATAATATATAAGGTATAAATAAGAGTTTGGCCTAAGTAATTCTGATTTTACATTAGACATATACCATGCAGCAGCAAAGAAGCCAAGGCAAATCATGAATTCCCATGTATTGATATTGAGGCTGCACAAGCGATCCAACGTAATTAACAGGTAGTTTTCTTAAATCAGACAAAAAAAGAACAGCATAATGTAGTCATAAAGGGATCTAATTGACATTCGAAAAGGATTCAAGCGTTCTAAGAATAGTGTTGTCCAAAATGAAATGAAGAAGTTCCAACAGTTGCTTTTATTGGCTCTTGTGTGTAGTTGCTCTAACAGCCAACAACAGTTAAAGTTTTATCCAAACACTATGAACTTAGTTTTTATTTAATTCAACAGTTAAAAATAACTAATAATTGTAATTGTTAGTTGATTGAACAATTAATATATGTTAACAATTTAAAATCAATTTATAAGTTGATGTTTTTAACCAACTTAACTAGTTATTTAAAGAAACAAAAAGCTTACAAATTGATAAAATCATCCAAATCAAACGCACTCTTAACCATTGGGAAGAACTATTTGCGAATTAGGAGGGCACTGTTCATCTAAAAATGCCCTCTACAAAACTAAAATAATTTACTTAAAGCATTCTCAACTCTACCATTAATATGCCATGGGCTGACTTTGACATTAAGTTCAATATTGTAATTTTCAAAAAAATAAAAAAACAATATTATAATTACAAAAGAAAATAAGAAGTTTGGCGACCCAATTTATAAAATTAAGAGACTACGTAATACTAAAGAATAAAACAGAAGGTGGATCATAAATAAAGGTAAAATTGAGTACCACTCATGCAATTTATTCAATTACAGGTTCTTTAAAGAGGGAGGAGGGGGGACTTACCAGATGGATAAAGCAGAGATGGCAACGGTTGCATTCTTCATATATCCAGCCAGCAACACCAAAATAGAGTTGTACCACAGTTCCAAGCTATCAAAAACCAAAAAATTATCAACCAAATTGCCCTCAAAGAAGGAATATACCATGGACATTATTGTTTTACATGATTAACACCTTCTAAAATTTTTAATTTTGATCAACACCCTTTATAATTTGAAACCTATAAGAAACTCAAAAGTTAACAATTGAAATCTCTATTTACATTCTGACTTGATTTGTAATTTGGGATTTTTTTTTATATAAATTTCAAATTATGGAAGATGTTGACCAAGAATGAAAATTCTAGACCATGTTAACCACGAAAAACAGTAATGTTTAGAGTGTAAATGAGGGATTTGGCCATTACAAAAACCCTCCAATTTCAATTTGGTCTTCAAAGATTTTCAGAAACCTAAAATACCCTCTAAAAGGCTGAAATATTAAAGTGGGTAGCCCTAAATTCATTTGCCCCAGAGACTACTATGGATGGCTTTGGAAGGTGTTGGGCTATACCCAACATCTTATTGATAGTTGTCATTTTCAAATTTGTCGGCCTAATTGGGCTTGTTTTCCAATTGGATTACTTGCAAAAGAGATTCACGTGGCACGGTTCTACTTACTCCATAATTGCTCAAGTGATTGTGTGCATAGTGCCTGCTTTATGAAAGGTTTTGAAGCTCAGATCTTGGAAATGATACTTGGATATTTAAAGGGCTAATGTAACAAATCATCTATTAATTTTATATTCTTTTTAGTTTTATCTATTATTTTTGAATTTTTTAAATTCTATCTATTAATTTTTACATTTATTTCAATTCCATCTAGTCCGTTATTTTAATGGAAATATCTATTATCTTTAACGAATCTTCTTATTTTATAAGAAAATATTTAGTCTTCTAATTATATTTCTTTTGACCTTTTAGTCCTTAAATTTATATTTACCATAAAATTAGTTATTATTATTAGGAAATAGTACATATCAACCTTATTTCCTAAAAATTATGAGGAAAATCATTTCAAAACTACGTCGTTTCAATAAACTTTTATTAAAAAAAGACTAAACTACCATATTTTTAAAACATACATTATGATGATTTTTGTCCATTTTCCTCCTAATTTTTTGGAGATAAGGCGGACAAGCACTAACCCCTTATTATTATCTTGTTGAATGTGTTTTTCAGAAAATTATTTTACAGAGTGGACTATATGCAGTCCATCCTATAAAATTATATAAATGCCCTTAATTTTATTTTTATATTATTTTTTAAGAAACATTTAAATAATTTTACAGGACAGATTGTATACAATTTGCCATGTATTGTAAAACAAACTTGCTCTTAAAACGTCTCGTTTTAAACTTACTAAGTTTTTCTATTTGAATTGAATTAGTTGCTCAAGTTTATTATAAATTATAACTAATCTATCTCTACAAAATATTTTTCTATAAAATATTTCATGAGTTATCATATTTTATTAGGATTATAGTATCACTTTTTCAAAACTTAAAGGACTACTCTTTTCGTTAAATCTAACAAAATTTTGTAAGTTAGACTACTTTGAAATATTCTCCAAAATTTATAGATCATTTAGAAAGAAACTAAACTTTATAGACTAAAATGAAATTAAACTGATAGTTAATAGACTAAAAATTAAATTAAACCAATATTTAAAATAGGAATATATTAGATCCTTAATATGTAAAAAATTATTTTTTTTTTAATATTAGAATGTCTAATCTCAACTGCACATAGATATAATTCACATAAAACTAACTACATGTTCCACCTATATTGTGACAAAGTGTGACAATCTTCTAAT